CAAAGTTGTGGTTGCTTTTGACGAAACTTTCATGATATACAATCCAAACAATGACTCGCTCAGTCCCACGGGTATTCACTCTGATGGCTGGCGGTACACAGAAATCTACATTAAAAGTTTAGTTTCTTCTTTTCCTACGGATGGACTTTTGTTAGAAGTCAATTGAAGAAATCTACGTTAGAAGAGCAAACTTTTGTTATCTTTATTATTTCGAACGAGAATTAGTTTTACTACAGCAAATTCTTTTACCTTGTTTGTAAATAGCGTGGCAAATTGTACTCCCTATGTTCTATTTTACATGCACTCATAAAGGAAGGGGAAAAATTTGAGGCTCATACCTAAATCCATCTTTGGCAACTTTCTGCTACTTGGCTTGGAACTTACATCCAAGTGTATGGCGAGTGAAATGAACGCACTATATATCTCGATTATGTCTAAGCGATTATTAAATGAGTTTTATAGTAGTTCAGTAGGTAATAACAACATCTTATAGTTTAAGATGAAAGTTGCATAACATGGATTGTTTAAGGTGGTTTTGAATATGGAATATTATATTGTAGTTCAGATGGATACCTCGTAGTTTCAATATGAACGTTGCAGTACATGGATAGTTCAGAAGCATGTATCTTTTCTTAATATAATATATGAGTACTTTTTAACGACGACGGTTGCGTGCAAGTACAGAAACCAGATTATTCGTCTTAGGAAGATAAAGAAGAAATCATCTAACAATACTTTTGTCTTCGTTGGAATTTAAACATAAAATCATACTTTTGGCTGCATCTTTTTAATCGAATTAGTAACTACTTTCTCCGTTTTAATTTATGTGAATCTGTTTGATTGGGCACAGAATTTAAGAAAAAATGAAGACTTTTGGAATTTGTGGTTCTAAACAAGTCAAAAAGGGGTCCAAAATATTTGTATGGTTAAAAACTTCTCATTAAGGGTAGAATTGTAAGTTTAATTAAGCTAAATTGTTTCCAAATTTAGAAAGGGGTCATTCTTTTTTGAACGAACAAAAAAGGAATTAGGTTTACATAAATTGAAACGGAGGGAGTAAGTAAGTATTATCTTCAACTAGTAGTCGTACCCGCGCGATGCGTCGGTCAATATTAAAAAAATATTTGTCACATTGTTAATTTTTTGATGTTACATTTGGAATTATCACAATTATTTGATTATCCTATTCTATATAAATAGAATAGATATTGTCTAAATTTTAATAAATAAAATCTCTATTAAATTAAAGGGACTTATATAGTCATCAAATAATTTTTTCGTTATGTATTTTTATTTATTATATTATCCAATATTTAGTATAATTATATTGTTAATAGAAATTATGACACTTGTCATTATAACATTTCTTTGCCTCTCCTATTATATATACTAGTATCCATACCTGCGCGTTGCACGGGGAATATAAAATATAAATTTTTATAAGAAAATGTTATATGAAAAATATAGTATACAAAGAAGCATGCGAACGCTATTATTTTTTAAACATGTAATGCACAAAATATTCATAAATTGAATTCATGCGTAAACACAGTTACCCATTTTAATAAACAGCTATTAAGGAAGAATTAGATTATTAGCTACATGTATTAGCACTGTTCGCCAAAGGCAACAAATAGCGCCTGCTTAAGATTATTTGATGAGAATTAAGACTGTTTAATGAGACCTTTAAAGATTTTAAAGTAGACAAACTGCAACATAAATTAGGCTATTAGTTAATAAGCAATACCATTATAAAGGTGAAATACAGATGAATTGCACAAGGTACCCTTGCGTGCAATATCAATATTTTGGTGTTGTCTCTAGGTTGTGTTCTACATGATGGACAAAATTGAAGTCTTATAAAAAATCAGATTATTTTTTGTAATTTTCACATATTTATCATACGATAATTCATGAATAAAAGTTAGGGATGACCTCGTCTTGTTGCAAACTTCAATTAACTGTCATGAAAACTGATAATGCTGTTTTACATTGCATTAGTGTAAGTTATTCAATGATATATGTTTCTCTCAATTAACTGCAGAAACTTACATTACAGAAGAGAATGTTGAGTATTCATGAAGGATGCCTTGTCAAGTTATAGACATCATATAGAGAACTAAAGTGAAGTAGCTAGTTCAACTTCACAGAAATTTTGAGATTTATTTGAATATCTTCTCTTGCGGAGCTACCCTTGTACTTTTATTTCTGCCATTTTAATGGAAAGTTGTTGAATGATCAAACTCTTGCACAACCTTTTCAGGTAAAAGAATATTTACCAACAAATGCTAATCAGTATAAATTTGTGGATGATAGAAATTAGACTTCTACATATTCATGAAGTCCACATATCAAAATGTGAACAAACTTTTTCAAGGAAGACAAATGAAGAAGTTTAGTAGAACCTTCAATGAATCGGAAAGTAAAGGCGCATAAACAAAATGGACCACATACTCTTGTGAGAGCGAAGTTGTGACGAAAACAAACTTGCAGCTACAATCAGCGTTTTATGGATTATAAGAGCACAAGTTATAAAAAGAGGTGGTAATGTCAGAAATATGAAACACACGCTTAAATCAAATCTACTGTATCGCCACTATTCGCTGCAAAGAGAAACATCATAGTCAAGTTAAGACAAACATCCTGTAAAGTGATCCAAACAAACTTAAGAGGGAATTCTGCGTAAGTTAATTCTCTAGTCCGCAATATTAAAATTTCTTGATTTATTTAATTAATGACGATGATTAATTAAGAACAATATTTTATCGTGGCTTTATTAATTACAAAAGTCTCCTTGTTGTTGACGGAAATATTGAACCCCTCAAATTTTGGTCGATTAATTTAAGTAGGAAGGCAAGTTATAAATAACATTTGTCTATATTACATAGCCTACTCTATGGTTGCGATAGCATTTGTCACGTCTAGTTTGATTTATGTACAACGGTTAATTGTGAAAGCATCCGCTCTTTTACGCAAAAGTCTTATACCCTGTTTGGCCAAGCTTCTCCAAATTTAAAAACAGTTTTCTTTTTTTAAAAAAGTGTTTGTTTCCAAATTTGAAGCGTTTGACCAAGCTTTTAGGAGGAAAAAAAGTGCTTCTGGGGAGAAGCACAAGCAGTTTTGGAGAAGCAGAAAAAAGTAGTTTCTTCCTAGAAGCACTTTTTGAGAAGTACTTTTAAGAAAAATACACTTAGAAACAGTTTTTAAAAGCTTGGCCAAACACTAATTGCTGCTTAGAAGTACTTTTAAATTAATTAGCCAACCACAAACTATTTCTCACCAAAAATACTTTACTCTTGAAAAAATCATTTCTCGATTTTTCCAACTCGGTCAAACTGGCTATTAGTAGCATCAACTTATAGCCGACAACATTGTTGGTTTCCTCGTTGGCTTGTTGCCCTACCACTATGGATGCAACCTTAGCTACTACGGAACCCATGCTATTCAAATCAGACATGCCCCTCAATATTCCGTACAAAATACGTATGTGCACACATGATGACACTTTACGGGTTCGTCTGGAAATTAATGTGTTCAATGATAGGCTAAGTAGTCGAATAATCAGAGTTTGTATCGGCGTTTTCTCCGCAGCAACATTATTATGTGCTATGTATTTATTCAACTACTGTTAAATATTTAAAAGGAGAAGCTATACTGCTATGTGTTCGAGCACCTGAAGGTCCGTTAACAAATAGAATAAAAAAGGATCCGTGGTATCCATTCATCTCCGTTCACCTGAAGGAGCTGCATATCCAACAACTCCTCCCTAACCTATCATCAACTTTGCTGGCAATTTTAGGCAGTTTTTTTAGTTCTTGTACAGTAGTACAATTTTTGTTAGTACAATTCAATTAACTGGAGTTCTGGCAGACGACACAACAGTTAATCACAAATTTCAGTTAATTGGAATTCCATGGCTCATCATAACTGCCAATCATATACAACATAACCTGAAAGTAATGACTCTGACTATATCTACTGAGAGCAAAAACTTAACCAAAAATATGCATTCAAGTACATACTGAATAAGTAAACCATTTCCTAATGCAATAAATTTACAAATGAGCAGATTATTTTAACTAAAAGCAAAATCCAAAAGTTTAACCATACATAATGCAAATCTTTCTAATATACTTTACATGGCAGAAGTGATATTTGTAGAGTCAATAACAGGATGTTAGCAAAAGCAAAAAGCTGAAAGCAAATTGCTGCATTTTGTGTTAATAATCAACCTCAAGGGCAAAGCAAGGCTCGAAAGATTAGGACGCATCGAACCCATTGTAAATAATAGAAAAATACTAATAGTATTATACGCGCCTCTATGATTGTACATAACTCATTTGGATGGTGACGTTGTTCCGGAAGTATAATAGACACAGATTGGAGCAAATTCAGCTTTTTGGCATCTTTTACGGTAAAAATGAAACAGAGTACTGCCAAAATATATTCATGTTCGTGAATGTCATTAGGCGTCAATGTCTCAGGTATAGGAGCACAATGACCTCTAAACCTCCATTAAAACCACCCTTAAACTCCATCGTTCCACCACGACAACAAATAAAGAATAGCCATGTAAAAAATCACTTAAGTCTGCATAAAAGCAATTCACAAGGGACCAAAAAGTCGTCTGTTAAATCCAAAAAACCCAAACTATAAATTTGCTTCTTAGCAATTTCAACACTTAGTTATTTAACAAATTAAGCAGCAATTTTCTAAAGTTTGACGGATAGTTCCACTTGTGATAAAGCATCTCCCAAGAATGAGCTAACGACTATCGAATGTGTATCGTACAATATTGAAAGGCTGAATTGAAATCTTGACTTCGTCAACAAATATATTCAATATTCGGCTAATTGAAATAACTAAAACATGTTAAGGAAAAAAAATAACTGAAAGAGAAAACTAAGCAATGTTTTTGGACTACCACTATTTTCTTTCAAAGCATACTTAGAGAAGGGAAAATAAAATTTTGAAAGCAAAAGTCATTCCAGCACAGGCAATTATGGATTCTTTTCTTTTTTTATCACTTTTCGAACCTTTTTGCTAGAAAGTTGACAATTAAGGTCGTCATCTGCTATCACTCCCGATGCCGATTTGGAGGATCTAGTTCTCTTGTCATACGTCTTCAAAGGAGATAATTTTGCTTTCCAATCTGCACCATCTTCTACCACAGATGATCCACTTTCTGATATGCTTTTTTGGATGGGAGTCTGTGGAGTAGACGTAACTTGACTTTCGGCCATAAAATCCTACAAAAATAGAAAAAGTGGAGAAGCAGTTAGAGAACGATAAAGGCGTTGATTGTATAATTTTTACTATTTCTTTAAAACTAAATAATTTTTAGACTTGAGTGTTATGCTGAGATCAATACTGTTGCGAACACAAGATTGAATAATTGGCACACATTGAACTCCAAATTAGGAAGAAAATACAAGACATTTGACATGAAAATTAGAAAAACTTTTTCAAACAGCATCGGGATCTCTTAATCTGGTCAAATTGCTCTCATTGGAAAATAGTTAAGCATGAATTTAACATGTAGATGAAACTCTTCAAACATCATAAGATTCTCGCTTTAGTACATAATGTACCAAAATTCTAGCACTGTTTTTTCCAAAACTTTGCTCCAAATTTCACTCAAACATGTACTTGAATGAACTAATGCTTTTTTGCCTGTTAATTAATAATGTCATTACACTATTAATTTTTGGATGATTACCCCAAATTGCTTCTCTCCGCCCGAACTTTGTCCATCAGGAATCACTGAATCCTGTTACAAAGAAACACATCATAAAATAAACATTAATTTTTGAAGGTAACATACTGATAGACAACTTAATTTAGTTGTCGTTAATGTATTTGGAGTTTGCTAAGAATATATTTTATACTGAATGTGTCTTGGAGCGAAGAGTGGCAGTATTCCTTTAGGAGATCGTAATCATCAGTTATCTTCACAACAGTGTAGACTCGGTCCTTTTTCTCAATATTAGATGGCTTAACAATAACCTTAAACATGAATCTTTTATAAAGAATATCATCCAGTTCACTTGGATAAGAACGGTCGTCATCCAAAACAGAAGCCTACACCAAATTTCATATGTTAGAAAACTTACATAATTGACAACTAAATTAAGTTGATTAGTATACCTCAAGTAATCCTTGCTTCAATTCTTTTGCGGACTTTCCTATAATCTGCATAACTTCGCGATTCCAAAGCAATAATGATATAAAAGCGGTTCCATCAATAACACAAACTTGAAGTCGATACCTGCAAGTCCAGATTTTTTTAATCTTGTGCATTTCCTTTTTATAAATTTTAAAATCATATGATATGAAAATTACCTGTGCCCAACAGAACATTGTTCTTCATTGCATTTTTTACAAAAAAAATTGTTCCCAATTTTGTCAACCTTTTTAGTGCACTTGTTGCATGCCAAGTATGACCATCCTCGTTCAAGTTCCAAATTCACAACTTTTGCAGCAATCCAGTAGGTACATTCCTATTTAAGAACAAAAATATTATTGTAAATTAAACGGGGAAAACATAAAGTAATTATAAGTTGAATACTAAATTTAACTCACTTCGGTACACTGAAATAAATTCGTAATAGTTTTAAATGATACAATTCCTGTGGCTAGCTCATCTTTGACAGAATAACTTTGTTGAGAGTTTGTTTGAGTAATCCGCTCACAGTTGATTGACATGTTACAACTAACCTGCATAAGTCGCAACATGGTAAAAGTGATAAATCGTAGTAATATTACGTAAGCACACGGAATTGAAAATTACACCCTTTACAAACCTAGATTTAAACTCAACATACTGCGGTAGATTAGAAGTGATCCAATGTTTTGTAGAGTACCAACAACTACGCATTGAGTAGTTACCTATAGATAAGATAAATCAAAAATTAGAAATTATAAATTTTTTGGAAACTAAATTTAAATATAGATGTAAAGTTGGTAAACCTCGGAATTTTTGAGGTTTCATAAATTGTAAAACAACAATCAAAGGTTCGTCTATAGCTCCATTCAAGTGAGGCTGAATTTGATCCACAAGTTCACTTCATAAGGTTGCCGTAATCCTGTTCCTCCTATAAGTTTCAAGGTAATCGGTCATCAACAAAATAGTATAAATAATTAAATTGTAAAAGTATAGTTTACATTAGAGAATAACTTACTGATCATCTTCGAGTGTAACATTGAGAAAGACACTTTTGTTATCTCCTTGCTTGTGTGTCTTAACATCATCGTACGTCACAACCTGACCAATGACATCTAGAAATATAAAAGTTAGTTAGACAATTATATAAAACGTGGTAATAATGGAAGAGCAGAATTACCGATTAATTCAGCCTCATCGACATCATTCTGATTTGTTAGCTGATCAAAAGGACGAAAGTTAAATATATTCATATGAAATGAAGAATCAAATATTTCCTCAACCGTTGTCCTTTGTGTAAATGTCAGCCTCGGTTTGTGAGCAGTATTCTTTAAACTCAAGTTGTTCGGTACGACAACAAAGTAGTTCATGCGATATAAGCCGAGTTCTTGTATCTTGGTCCGAAAAAACTTAATTACATACTTCCCAATCGAGGCTTGGATACGATCACCCTAACAAAAATAGATTCATTATTAAGATGTATCATATTGCTAAGAAATTGCATATATGTAGAAATAGAAATTTAAATCGCACATAAAAGCACTTGAAAGACATTAAAAGCACACATGTTTCTTCTGCAAGTTGGAGGTAGAAATATATATTTTGAGCATACCAATTTTAGAAGAGGAATCCTTGACGGAAGTAAATATAATTAACGTTTAAGAGTTGTAATGTCTTGCAAATAGAAAAGTCTTGTACCAAAGCTAATTAGTTTGAATAGAACTTTCTGTGTATAACTCTATCGGAAAAAAACCATAAAAGAAGAAAAACTTTAGAACTATGTAAAGTTCTTGAAAGACAGTAAAAGCACACATGTTTCTTCTACAAGTTGGAGGTAGAAATATATATTTTGAGCATACCAATTTTAGAAGAGGAATCCTTGATGGAATTAAATATAATTAACGTTTAAGAGTTGTAATGTCTTGCAAATAGAAGTCTTGTACCAAAATTAGTTTGAACAGAACTTTCTGTGTATAACTCTATCGGAAAAAACCAGAAAAGAAGAAAAACTTTAGAACTATGTAAAGTTAAATATGTTACCTTTGCATCTTGTAAAATCAATTCAATCGAATATGGTTTTTCGGGATTGAAACGATCCGGCATTTCCCACATTCGAACGACTCTAACTTTGAGGTTCCATTGCATCGAATTGATTGAAATTTGACTGATTTCATGAAGTGTTGTAGCCATATTTACAACCTTCTGTGTTTTGAGCAGAGAAAAAAAAGGAGTAGAGAATAGAAAAGAAAATAGAAGAGGGAGAAGACGTTTGAAACATTATTAGCGTAAAAGTCAGTTTATAAGTTATGGAGTTATAGAGTAAGAAAAGTGGGAGTCTAACAATTTAAATAAATGATCGTGGATGAAGAAACATGGGAGTCCAAAAATCGTGGGACTGAGATAGCTATACAAACGTGGGACTCTTATAGAACTGTTGTGCTCGCGAAATATCAGTGATACAAATAACTGAAAGAGCAAATAACGTGGGACTGATTAAGATATTATCCATATCCAGTCAGTTATAGAGTTAACTTAATCACGTGAGTTGTTTAAAAGATGACATAATTTTTTTTCTTCTTTTTGATCTCCAAAATTATTGGAGTATTGTCTTAAAAAGTAACACGTGTCGATCTACAGGAGTGACACTTTGCGCAAAATTATTGTTTTGCCTCTCCTATTCTATATTAATAGATTCTTATTTTTTTTAATCTATTGAAGAAAGAAAACAAAATACCGAGGCCGACAAAATAGAAAGGTGTACCTTTTCTAGATATCATTAGTTAGGAGTCTACTGATCATTAATTGCAATATTCATTTTAATTAATCTATTAAAGAAAAGAAAACTAACTAAAAGTAATACAAAAACACAAAAGACAAAGAGAAACAAATTTCTAAAATCATTTCTATTTTGATCCTTTCTTAGATTCTGTTGAATTGTATCTAATTCATTTTTTGGAATAAATAAATGAGGGAACCCGGAAAAAAAAAGAGAAAACTATCCTCTATAGCCCCTCAAAATTTTAATAGCCCACGTTTTGTACCACTTACAAAAAATGGCCCTTCGGCCCAAACAAATTGCATATAGTAGTCGAAAGGAATGAGTATGACAACACAAGCGCCTGTAGCTCAGTGGATAGGGCGTTATTTCCTAAGCTGAAGGTTGCATGTTTGACCCTTACTTGGCGCGATAGATTAACACTTTTTTGCCTTCGGCCCAAACATATTGCATATAGTAGCCAAAAGGAATGAGCATGACAACACAAGTGCCTGTAGCTCAGTGGATAGGGTGTCTATTTCCTAAGCTGAAGGTTGCAGGTTCGACCCCTACCTGGCGTGATGGAGCAACCCTTTTTTGCCTTTTTAAAGTATATTTTGTACTTCTGGATCTAATAATATTAGCTAAGAATTGAATGACAGTCTATTTTGTATATTTTTTGTATAGTAACAGTCTATTTTGTATATTTTTTGTATAGTAACAGTCTATTTTGTATATTTTTTGTATAGTAACAGTCTATTTTTTATATTTTTTGTATAGTAACAGTCTGTTTTGTATAGTCAGAGCTAATTGTATATAAATTGTATAGTGGCACTCTATTTAGTATATTTTTATATAGTTATAGTCTATTTTGTACATATTTTGTATAATGACAGTCTATTTAGTATATTTTTTGTATAATGACATTCTATTTTTGTATATATTTTGTATAGTGACACTCTATTTGTATATAAATTGTATAGTGACAGTCTGTTTTGTATATTTTTTGTATATTGACAGTCTATTTTGTATAGTGACAGTTTATTTTGTATAGTTTTTGTATAGTAACAGTCTATTTAGTATATATTTTTTATGGTGACAGTCTATTTTGTATAGTGCCAGTCTATTGTATATAAACTGTATAGTGACAGTCTATTTTGTATAATTTTTGTATAGTGACAGTCTATGTTGTATATATTTTGTAATATACCAATATTTAAATCTATTTTCGAAAGAAATACATAAATATCCATGTAAATATATACTAATGGTGGGCGTGAAATTATAATTTCCATCAAAATCAACTAATGACATACATGTGGAAATGGAAATTTATTTGGTGAAACCCAAAGGATTTCCCTAGCAAAGAAAGTTAGCCCAGAAAAAATGAGGCAATAACAGAGAGCTTTGGATTTTTATTCAAAGAGTGGTTGCCCCTCTCTCTTTAGCCAATGATTTTCCTTTTCCACTTTTAAAACAAAATCAACAACCCTTGAATTCCTGGAAATACGTACTACTATACAGTCATTTCGCACAAGCATACTCGTAGCAACTTGTTGCCATATCAACTGTCAAGATACAAAACAATGAGTCAAAAAGAATGAATGGCGAGCTCGGTAGAAAACATCAAGATACTGACAGTGGTCAGATCGTTGGAAAACAAACTGTAGAGTGCTGAGAGTAAGATCGTCAATCAAGACAGAGTCATTAGTGTACAAAAGCTCTTTGGCATTTAAGCAAACGGAAAATACTTCTTCCGCTTTACCCATCCTTTCCAAAACCAAAGCTTTAAGTGCCAGAGCATAAGGGGAATTGGGGTATTTGGAGAGCAGAGGGGTGCAGTGCTTGAGAGCATTTTTGAACTGGCGAGAATCAATGGCATCCCAAATGGGTCGAACTCTACGCTCTGGTATGCCACCAGCTAACCCAAACTTGGACGCCATTTTCCAACCGTTTGAGAATTGGATGCAATCAGTGATTTTGTAGCCATAGCGTGGCCGCCTCTGTCTTTACAGATCTGAGCCTCCGTACTTTTGGGCTAGCCACTTGAATTATTTTTGGGCTATAAAATGTATGTTGCAGTTTTTGGGCTACCGGGTGAAATATGTTTGGGCCGATGGCTATAAAAGAAGTTTGCTAAAAAAAAATGGTAAAATTCATAGCCCAAAAGAATATTGACTACTAGGTTTATTTTTTATTATCTTTAAGGGATTCTGACGATAAATATAACAAGACTTTTGTGAAGACTTTTACAATACGCAGCCGCAGTCCAGTCTTCTCTCCCATGCAATGCAAAAGTGAAACACTCAAAAATTTTGTAACCCAAATGGAATCCAAGGGAGAGGAAGTTCAACACGCAAAACGGAGCAAACCCACAAACGATTCTCAAATTCCATTATAACTCATCACTATCTTCTTAAGACTTCCATTTAAATCCCTCTTAAAATTCAGGCCTGTTTCAAAATACTGGCTTGATGTAATCTCTAGCCCTGAATTTATCAAGTTCCATCTTAGTTTATCCTTTAGTAACAAGGAAAACACTCACCATAGGCTTTTATTGAGGATTTTCCGACCTGTGTACTGCAACATTCTAAAGGATTGTTCTCTTGAGTCTTTACTTTATGAGTCTGTTACTGAAGCATCTGACTTGAATATTCCTATGAAAAATCCTTATAAACTTTTTCGTATTTTGAGTTCAGTGAATGGGTTGATTTGTTTGATTTGTCTTGCTGGTGGACAAAACACTTGTTTCTATGGAATCCATCGACAAGAAAGTACAGGAAATTG